TAACTCTAAAACAAATCCTAAAGACAAATACAGAGATTTGAAATACACATTTTGTTGTCAATTTTAAAATGTTTAGGCGTATAAATTAGTTTGCATGTTAGAGTTTGTTGACGCAGGAAATGCCTGAGCAACAATTCCATTGAGGCTGGAGACATTTCAGGTGTAACATCCTTGATTAGTCCCACATCGAAAGTGGGCAAGACTAAGATTGACTTATAAGGGTTTGATGAGTGTACTACTATCAACTTCAACTTAAGCATTTTGGTCAGTGGTTTAGACCAAACGAAGTTGATAGGCCAGTTAGCCCATCAGGCCCGAGTCATAATATTTGGTATTAGGCCAGATAGCATACTCAACAATTCCAATGAGGCAGAAGGCATTTCAGTATAACATACACAAGTTTTGATTCTCTGAAGTCCATTCAACCTGCAAGCAAAGTGACACCTTCTTGCATGCAAAAGAAATGGGTGAGTACCAAACCAATGGTAATCCTGATCAACACAGCAACTGGTCTTCCAAATTCCATTGAGGCCCCTGCATGCAAACATCACAATACATAACAGAAACATAAATGGAATCTTCCAATTAGCACACGAGCAAGTTTGCATAGAAACTCAACTGACAAGATAACAACTCCTTGAAGACATCCAAATCCATAAATCCATGAAAACCAACCTACAACAAATTATAGAAACAAAACTTTGGCGTTTAAATTTTTTTCAGCTACTAAAATCATCAGAGCAAGTACTACTCCATGTAACTTCTCGTCATCTTTGGTGATGTATACATACTGCATAACTTGATCTGAAACATGGCTCTTTCACACTCACCCAACAACCAATAACCGATCCAGAATTAAGTTGGAGAGAATCCAAACACCCGTTCGGAATCAATTTGCACAGAATCCAAATGTTCCTAAGATCCAAAATAATCTTGGTTGGACTGCTAAGCAGAATTTATAAAACCTGCAGTTCACATACAAACCAACAATACTGTGCCAAACACAATCAGAAAATGATTCGAGCAAAGATTTAGTAAGACAAAACAAAGACGGTTTATAATCAATGCTAAACTAGCTTGTCACATAAGAAGAATCTCACACCTCAATAGACTTTTAGAGAAGCCATAGGGGAATAATCTACCTTCATCGATCAGAGATTTCAAACAGGCCAGGGGCTTACTGCTTTGCAAAAAAGAACAGACTTTTCCATGAACCTTAATGAGTAAAACTGGAAGACATTTTGTGTTGGGCACTGCATAGACCTTCCAATTACAACATTACTACCATATGACACCAAAGGAATAATTCTTTCACTGGACTGCAACTCAGTAGCCAAGGCTGGTGGTTGATGTAAGACAGCTTGTTGTCAAGGAAAAAGGTTGGTGAGTTAGACCATCAGTGAAACCCTTCTCATCCTCCTCTGATACCAAATAAAAGGGCTCATTTCCCTTCACACTCACCTGCTCTCAAAATATCAAGAAGCTCAGGAACTTTTTCTTTGTAAGGTAAAACAATCTTCTCCCGGAATTTTGTATTTGATAATTTCACATAGCACAAAAACTTGCCTCGTCGAGTCCACAAGCCTTTGGTATTCAACATCTCCAAAACACGAAACCGAGGAATTACCCTCTTCTGCAGACCATATAGCAAGATAGTTGGTTGGAAGGCGATGAACGAAGGGGTGTACCCGACTATATTGATAAAAAATTCCATCTTTCTGCGCATCATGTCGAGGGACATGCGTAAGAAGGTGGGTGCTTTCCTGACTGCAGAAGAAAACTCCGACTCCGACCACCCAAA